CCCCCCCCTTCTCTCTCCTCTCCTCCAGGAAAATCCAACGACGACAACAACAACTACCCAAAAAAAATAAAAGTATCATGGCTCGTACGAGAGAAGATGCTGCCGCCGCCGCAGCCGCCGCCGCGAACGACTCCGAGGCCGCTGGTACTTCTCCTCCTCCCGCCCGTGGTCGCGGTCGTCCCAAGGGAAGCCTGAACAAGACCACGACGGGCGGCGTGACAAAGTCTGCCAACTCCGCCGCCGTAGGCTCCGGCGCTGCCGCCAACCCGACCGGCCGAGGACGCGGTCGACCCCCAAAGGGTGACAAGCCAAAGGCCCCCGCCTACATCCCCACCGGCCGTCCCCGCGGCAGACCCAAGGGGAGCGGGAAGAAGTCTGCCGCGACCACCGCCAGCACCGCCGCCAGCACCGCCGCCGCCGTCGCCGCCGCCACGACTGCCGCCAAGGTTCCCGGACGAGGACGCGGTCGTCCGCGCAAGGTGGCGGTCGACGGCACCGCCGCCGCCGTCACCGCCGCCGTCGCCAATGCATCGCCTGCTGCTCCCAAGAGGCGCGGCCGTCCTCCTAAGAAGGTGGTCGAGCAGGAGGTGGAGGTGGACGAAGACGAGGACGAAGACGAAGAGGCTGATGAAGACGGTAAGTCTCTCCTGACTCTGCGCGTGTCCTGCCGCAATTGGCATTGCCGCACATCGAGACTGACATTCCAACCTTTTTTTTTTCTCTTCTTTTGTCAGAAGACGCCGCTGGTGAGACCGTCACTGATGACCAGAATGGCGACGATGCCGATGCAGACGCCGATGCCGACGCCGACGCCGACGAAGCTCAATAGTTTCAACTTTTGACGATATCCGTTTTTTCCCCCACACTTCGCCTTTTACTCTCTCTCTCTCTCTCCTCTCTATCTCTCTATATATCATACATCTCCCATCACCACGCTTCTTCCTTTTCTTCTCTTTTTTTCCTTCGAAATCTCTAGGCAACAGCGCGTTGTGTCCTTCTTCTTTCCATGTTTACCCACGGCGCGTACACACACTTGAGGATTAGAATCCACTATCTTCCTTTTTCTTTCTTCCTTTTTTTTTTCGTTACAATGGAGCAAAAGGGGTGAGGGGACTTTTCCAACCGATGATTTGCGGAATATGCTTTTTTTTTTTTGTTTTCCTTCCCCTCATGATATGAAATGGCTCTGCGAGGCAAATGGGTATGGGATAAGGGGGTTTACGGGGCAATTTACTTTTTTTTCCAAAAAGAAAAGAAAAAAGAATACATTTCCACCGAGGGATTCATTTGCTACATCTCGGCACTGTCGTCTTTCTGCTCCTTCTACTCATCTCTTTCTTCCGTCGTCTTTTCCGTTGACAGCGTTGTGGCACCCGATATTGTATGACTGAGCAACATTTGGCTGCTGCCGCACTCGCATCTGTAGTAGATAACCTCATAGATGGATTTCCCTCCCTCTCTGTTGGGAAGCAAGCGTTTCAGAGACATGCACTCATCAACCAACCCAGGACGTACCGGTAGGCAGACACCACTGTATTCGCATCTACGGGTCAGCGTGTGCTGTCGCGAGCAAGGAGCACACCGTGCGTGGTATAGGGTAAGGTCATTGATTCGTATGGAGATTGGAGATGCGCGAGCAGTGATGGAGCAAGAAGACTACACTCATCTCTTGAGCCTCTCATGAAAGGGTCAGGAGGAGGGTGGGAGAAGAGGCCTGTCGGGAGGGAAGGTGAGAGACCTCTTATGCGTCACTCCCTCTTCCACTCGACAAACTCCCCGTCAAGATGTTCCTTCAACTCCTTGAACCTGTTACCAAAGTCCCTCCCGCAGCGCCAACACCTCATCCCCCACCGGAGGTAGCCCTCGTGACCTGTGTGCCGTCTCCCGTCGTCCGGTGCGAGGGGTATATCGCCAAGAGGCACGAAGAAGGGCGTGTTGAACGAGTTGTAATGCCTCCTGTGCCGCACGGCGTTCGAGTGCATGTCCCTCGACAGCACGTGGACGTGCAGGTGCGACATGCTGGGCACGGCGTGGACCCCCGCCATCACCTCGGCCTCCCAGTCCCTGCCGCCCTCGGGGAGGCGAGGAGGAGGCAGGAGAAGGGAGGGATGCTCTGGCCCGGCTTCGCCGTCGAGCACAGCCTGTCTGGCCGCGTCGGCCCTGCTGTCCCGCCCCACCAGCCTCCTCAGCTCCCCGGCCACCATGCGCTTCAGACGCGCCGTCTGCTCGATCACCTGCCGCCTGAAGGCGTCGTCGGCCAGGGCCTCGAACGGGTGGAGCAGGTTGCGGTCCCGTCGCCGCGGCAGGAGCAGCGCGTGCACCGTGGCCTTGGGGTACAGGTCGTGGATGGCGACAAAGTCGGCCGTGTGGAAGATGACGCGCGACGATGGGAACGTCTCGGGCTCTTTCAGGTAGACGCCCAATCCCATGCGGCTTCTGGATGAAGCTGCCGCTGCCGCTGCCGCCGCCGCCGTCGCTGCCCGTAGTGCTTTGGCCTCGCCGTGCTTGGCTTTCTTGGGCTTCATGAGCTCTCCGACTTTCCCGTCACGTCAGCTTCTTCGACTACCCGGTATCAGACATATGCAAAGAGTTGTGATTGTTTTTTTTTTCGTTTCCTTACAGGCATCGCGAGGACGCTTCTTTGTTGCTTCCGACACTTCTCCTCGGCCTTGGAGTTCTTCTTGCGTCACGGCCTCTTCTTCTTCTTCTTTCAGAGAGTCGGTCATTATGCGTGCGTGCGTGCGTGCGTGCGTGCGTGCGTGTGTATGTGTTGTGAGAATAAGATGTTGTTGTAAGCACTGAGAGTTTGCCTGAACTCGCCTCACCGTCGGAGAGTGGATGCCGTCACATAATACCCGTATTCACCTTTGTTGACCATGGCTCACGTGAAAACGCACACGACAAACTCCTTGTTCAGCAAGAGAGGAAGATCATCATCTATTCTTATCTTATAAATATCAGGGATTTCCGTTTTCTCGTATAATCCCACTAAGCTACGCATCCAATCCATCCAACTGAATCAACTTTGTCACCAACCGAATAACCTCATTGCCACCGAGCTGCACACCCGGATTCTTGACCTTTTCAGCAATCACACCGTCCACCATGCCCCTCAGCCTAGCCACCAGGACACCGATACGTGCCCATCCTCTGAGCCGGAGCCATCCGTCTACCAGCAGACCTCGTCCCATGGTATCCAGCTCTATCGACCCGCAGAAGAGTAGCAGGGTATACGCATTGAAGGCTACACATCAACCATCGACCGCGTTAGTAAAACATATATACATATATATATATATGTGTGTGTGTGTGTGGAAGAAATGTCCATAGAGAGGGAGAGAAAGACAAAAGAAGAAAACTCACGGGTAAGATCCCGGATGAAGACCTTGCTGGTAGATATCATGGTGAAATACGACATGTAAGCCGCATTCCCGGGATAAGACTGGCTGCCAAACAGCGTACTGGAAGGATGGACAAACACCCTCCCGGTATCCTGAGCAAAGTACTTTATCGACCGAGCCTCCGGATCTAGCTCCACCGCTCCCGAGACAGAGTTGATGTACTTCTTATCCGGATACTGGATCCGCGCGACCTGCGGGGTGAATGCCGCCGCAATGAGAGCACGGAGTAGTTGGGGATTGCTGATGGTGTTGGCCTTGTTGCCATCGTTGCCGCCGTTGGAGCCACTGCCGGACGAGCTCTTCTCCTTGGCTTCAGAGGGGGAAATGATTCCAATCTCGGCCAGAGCAGCGTAATACTGCGTCCTGGTGCTGGATATGTCGGACAAGGTGTTGAAGGAGAGGAAGTTGTCCTCGCAGAAGGCGCGGACTGTCCTCTGCGGCGTGGAGCGGTCGGCCATCATGCCGTCCCAGTGCCTGAAGGCCGTCAGGTCCGTTACCAGGTCGCCATCGCCCGAGTAGAAGGCCTTGCGGGCCTCCTTGGCCTCCTCCCTGCGCTCTTGTGGCGACAGGAACGGGCTGCGCGTGCTCAGGATGGCCGCCATGGTGACGCAGTCATCCAGGCAGCCCGCAAAGATGGCCCCGAACACCATCAGCTTGCCGCACCGCAGGTCCGTCGGCAGCATGGCCAGCTGCTGGCCCATAGCCGTCAGCTCGTCGCCGTCCAGCGCGCCCATGCGCCGGAGGAGCCTCATGGCCCCCTCGATGGCCTGCGCCTCGGGCGGCGTCGGGGAACGTCCCAGGAACCGCGCCACGTCGCGCATCCCCATCGCCCGCACCGACAGGCACAGCTGCTCCAGAGCCACGCGCCGGATCTCCGGCTCCGGGCGCTCCGGCATCTGCTCATCCTCCAGCTTCCGCGTGTACAGCTTGTAGCACCGACCCTCCTGCACGCGTCCTGCACGGCCCCTCCTCTGCTTGCACGCCGCCTTGGACGCCCACGTCTCCTCGAGCTTGCGCATGTTGTTCTGCGGGTCGAAGCTCGTCTCCTTCACCTTGCCGCTGTCGATGACCGCCACGATGTCGTCAATGGTGATGGACGTCTCGGCTACGTTGGTCGCCACCACAACCTTGCGCTTGCCCGCCGGCGGCTTGGCAAACACCCTCTTCTGCTCGCGCGTCTCCAGCGAAGCGTGCAGCGGCAGGACGTGCAGCGACGAGGACCCCTGCAGCGCCCGGCACGCCTGGTTGATCTCACCCACTCCCGGCAGGAACACCAGGATACCTCCCGTCTTCTCCTCGTACCCGAGCTCCGCGTCGATCGCCTGAACCAGGTCCGCTATGAGAGGGTAGTTGATGCGGTGGCCAAGCTTCTGAATCACCTTGCCTATCCCTTCATCGCCCAGGAACTTCTCGTGGGAATCCATCGGCGTGAAGCCCGTGAACCGAACCACGTCGTCGAGGTAGTAGTCATCGACCGGGAACGTGCGGCCCGATATCTCGACGGTGCCCACGCTCAGGCCCTCGGACGTAAAGTAGCTGCTGAAGGTGGCCGCGTCCAGCGTTGCCGACATGAGCACCAGCTTGAGCATGTTGGGCCGCGTGCGCATCACCTCGCGGATGAGGTTGAGCAGGAAGTCGGTGTCAAGGCTGCGCTCGTGCACCTCGTCGATGACCACGTGGCTGACGTCGGACAGCGCCGTCACCACGTCCTCAACCTTACCTCCGGACGTCTGCAGCCGTCGCAGCAGCACACCTGTCGTGACGAATGTGATGCGCGTGTCCCTTGACCTGCGCGACTCACCGCGGATCGTGTACCCGACCTCCTCGCCTACGCGGCAGCAGCGCTCGTCCGCCACCCGGTCGGCCAGACCCAGGGCCGAGATACGTCGGGGCTGCGTAACAATCATGTTGGCGCAGTCGCCTAGGCCTCGGTTGTACAGGTCGTCGAGGAGGAACTGCATCGACTGAGTCGACTTCCCAGATCCCGTCTCTCCGCTGATGATGGTGACGTTGTTTCCGGCCACGGTCCGCACAATCTGGTCCTGCATCTCCCACGCCGGAAGCCTCGACCTCTGCGTAATCATCTTCTTCTGGTCTGGCCTCTGCTGCCTCTGCATCCATCGCTCTCTGCTCTGCTCGTTCTCTACCCACTTGATGGGTCGGGGCGCCGCCAGCGTCCGTTTGGCGCGGGACACTGCCGCCGCCGGCTTGGCCTCGGATGCTGCCGACGACACGGACGAGATGTCCACCAGCTTGCCTGGGTGCTCGATGATATCGTTGATGTTCTGCTGGATCCAGTCGACAACCAGGAAGATCTTTGTCGGCTCATCTCGCAGCTCGTCGTGCATGTAGGCCAGGGCCTTCCGGATGACGCTGAGCTTGATGTAAGAGGGCATGCTGGCCACCACGGACAGGATGAGGTTCTTGGGATACGACGGGGCCATGCGCACGCGCAGACTGGCGTCAATGTTGGCCTTGCCAGCGTTCTTGACGCCCTCCAGCCGTATCTGTATCACCTTGTCACCTTCACGCTCAAAGTTGTCGCCATACATGGCTTCGAGGCTGGCCGTCTCCTCCTGCCACTGCTCCTCGGGAGATCCCATATCCAGAAAGTCGTCATCGTCCTCATCTGTCTTCGTCTGGTCATCTTCGTCCTTGGAGCTGCTGGCCATGAGCAGACCCTGCAGGGAATTTGCCGCCAGTCCCTCATCACCCCCGCTCTCGTTGAGCACGCGCGTGCACACCTCGAGCGAGTACCCCGTCTGGGTGAGCCTCTTGATGACAGCCTCCTTCTTCAAATCGGTAGCGCCAATGGACACACCGACGGCGTAGCTCTCTGGAAGGGCCCAGGGTGGCAGGTCGTCCTCGGGCACGTGGATGAGCAGCCACTCAAGCGTCTCCTCGCGATCCTTGCAGTAGTCGACCGCTTCGGCAACGTGGCTCTGGCGGAACCCAAGCTTGGCGAGCTGCGACACGACGCTATCCTTCTGCTGCCGGGTCATGTCCACGCCGTGCGGGTTCCACGAGATGCCACTCCTCAGCAGCGTTTCGAGCTGGGTTCTCGTCTGACGACCCATCTCCACCTTGGGCGCGTTGGACCACCCCTTCATGGGGTTGAAGCCACTGGCCCCGGAACCGTCACCACCCCTGTTGAGAAGGGCCAATCCCGAAGCGCCAGGCATCTCTTTGGCCTTGGCCCTGGCAGCCTCCAGTTCCTTCCTCTTCTTATCCGCCGCGGATTTCGCCTCCTCGCGCTCCCTGAGCGTCTTGAACGGATCGGCATCGTACATCCACCCTTTCCCTTCCTTCACGTCTAGCGCCTTCAAGGCCTGGAAGTCCTTCCAGAGGGATTTGTAATCGGGAGGGAGGACGGTATGCTTGTTCTGCATACTGCACACCCGGAACAGGGCGTATGTTGCCGCTGCGTGCTTGGCCTCGAGCGCCGTCTCCCGCGTGATGAGGTGCTTGTGGCTCGCCGGGATCTTGAAGGGTTCCAGCCGCGTCGTCTGCTGCGTCTTGGGGTCGCGGGCACTTAGAGTCACCCATACAGAGAAGCCGTCGGCCGTCTTGCGCGTGTCGTACTCGGGCCTGTCCCAGTGTTGCTTCTGGCAGTACTCGCTCATCAGGTTCACGGGGAGCTTGCCCGTCCACGAAGACCCCCCGATGCGTTGCTTCACTGTCGGCTTGGGAGCGTCCCCCGGCGGTGGAAGCTGCTCTTCCTGAGCCACTGCTGCCGCCCCCTTTGCGCCCTTCTTGCTGCCGCCGCTGCCGGGCTTGCCGCCATTTTTACTGGTCGGTCCTGACGATGGTGCTGCCGCTGCCGGCGGCTCTGCAGCCTTGCCTTTGGCTTTTTTCACCATCTTTGTCTATTGTCGTTGATACGCTTCTCCTTCGAGCACCCGCGTTTCCTCCTAGTTCATATCGTCTTTCTCCCTTCTTATATCTTCTCTCTCAGTGGCCAGCTGCGGGGGGAGGGGTCAAGGATAAGATTCTTGCTCCAGTTACGCCATACAGAGGTGTCTGTCTTTTCTTAGGCGGGAAAATATCGAGTGATTCATGTCAGTTGGACAGAGGTTAGTCGAGAGATGACCGCTAGAAGACTATACATCCCTCCGGGCGGTGGCGTGGAGATGCGTTGTCAGGTTGAGCATTCGTCTCATATAATGATTGAAAAAGTGTCGCGGAGAATTTGTGTGTGCGCTGGTGGCTAATTATACGCACTGTATATGATGTGTAAACTCGCTGCCTTATGCACAGTGTGTAGCTCATCAAGGTTATCCGCCCAAAAAAATTCTACACATGATCAAAGAGCATCCCCGTCTACAGACACATCTGAATCATAAAACTCACTTGGTACGAAACGCCATGGTGGAGTCAAATTTGTTGATTTTGGGGGAAATATTGATGGGGGCAATTAATCTCATCGCTACGGTTCCATATGCCGCATCAGCCACTTGGCTGTTACTCTTGAGCCGCAACTCAACGCTATACCTGTCCTCCATCCGGGGATTAAGCCCGGTGCACTCGCACCGGCATCCCGAGGTTTCGAGATTCCATCCCTCCTTTTGTGTATCTCGTATCCTTACATGATGTTGATCCCTGCCACGAGCCGCCATCATCCCATTTGCCGTTTGCCGCCATGAGGGGTGGTGAGCTGACGAGCGAGCAGCCTTCCGTTCCATAGAGAAGGTCTCCCCACGGACACCTGCTCGCTGTCCTCTGGGCGAAGGAAAGAACAGCACCAAATAAAACTCCATCTTGTATTCATAAGAGGCTGGAGCTTTCAAGCTACCATAGGGCCTCGGCTCATCGTCATGGCTCGCGTTCCCATCTCGCGTCGCGCACCATTCCGAGCTACATCAACTCCCCCGTGTAAAACCGGGGGGGAAACCACGTCTAGGTGTCATAGTGTTCAAACAGTCAAGCGGGGGCAGGGGGTTCGGGGTTTGGGGGCAAAGAAATGTAATCGGTAGTTGAAAGCGCAGTGAAGGGGTAGGGGGAGGGGGTGATAAAAAGAGGAATATTCGTTTGGTCGGGAGCGTCTTTTCCTTTGAGAGGGTATTTGTTGTGGGTTTGTAGCCAGCTTCTGTAGGGAGAAAAAGTTCACAAGAACGGGAAGGAGGTAAATGGACGAGCCACACGATATCAAAGAAACAAACATTAGCCAGCCATTCAAGGCGACAATCGCTTTCAATTTCCCTCGGCTCTCGGTCATCTGGTGTCTCTTCCATGCACGCTCTCTCTCAGAAGCTCGCAAGGTCGTAGCGACTTCTTACATGTCCATCGAGTCACCACCGTTGGCAAAGTTGAAGCCACCGGACTGGGGAGCACCGCTGGCGCCGAAACCAAAAGTACCGTTAGGGCCAGTGGGCTGGGCGGTACCTTCATCGGCATTCTCCTCATCGTCCGAGAAGTACTTCTCGATGATGTTGTAGGCCTTCATGTAGATCTCCTCGTTGGCGTTGTTCTGGCAGTCGTGGATCTTCTCCATGCCACCGCACTCCTCGATGAAGAGGGCGTAGCGGTTCACGGCCTCGCTACCCTCGCCGGCAGCCTGCTTGTCGAGGTCGCCAATCTTGAGGATGTTCTCAAGACCGTCGAGAGCAACCTGGATGATCTTGTTGTCGGGGCAGGCCAGGAGGTCGCACAGGGGCTTGATGCATCCCTGCGAAACCAGGTAGCGGATCTGCTCAGGCTTCTGGAGACCGCCAGAGGTGGCATTGCTGATGGCCCAGCATGCCTCCTTGCGCGTCTTAAGGTCGCCGTTCTGCAGAAGGTGAATCAGAGGGGGGATGAGGTTGGCGTCGATGACAGCCTGGATCTGTCCCGAGTTTCCAGCCGTGATGTTAGAAATGGTCCAGCAGGCCTCCTTGCGGATGCCATCCTTGGTGGAGCTCAGCAGAGACAGGAGACAGGGCAGGGCACCACAGTTGATGATGACTTGGGTCTGTACGTCATCACCAGTAACAATGTTACCGACGGAGCGAAGAGCGGGCGTCTGGACTGACGTCGAGGCGTGCATGAGAAGCTCAGTTAGGCGGCGGGGGATGCCAGCCTCGATGACGGCCTGGATCTTGTCGTTGGCGCCATCCGAGAGGTAGGAGATGGCCCAGCACGCGTCGATGAGGACCTCGTCATCCAGCGAGTAGACTAGCTTGGACAGGACTGGAAGAGCAGGAGCAATCTTTCGGGGGATTCACATGTCAGACACGACAAACGGCTAGCCAGGAGAGAGGATGAAAGCGGATCTGGGCTACTTACAGTGTTCCAGTCAGGCTGGGGGCTCTTGCCACGGCAGAAGTTGCTCAGGGTCCACGTAGCGTTCCTGAGCATGCTGAGCTTGCGGCTGTCGCCCAGAAGGTTGAGCAAGGGTTTAAGAGCCCCGCAGCTGAGTACATAGTCACGGCAGTGGGGGCTGTCGCCGGCAATGTTGCCGAGAGCCCACACGGCCTGCTCACGGACATCGGGCTCGGGGCTGGAGAGGAGCTCGACAAAGATAGGCACGGCGTTGGCCTCGATGACGACCTGGGTCTGGGTGGCAGAACCCGAGGCAATGTTGGTTAGGGCCCAGGCGGCCTCGAACTGGACAAGGGTATGGGGGGATCGCAGGAACTCGACGAATCGGCTGACGACACCAGTCTTGATAACCTCCTCGATAGGCGGGTTGCGCTCCTTGGAAAGAAGCTTCCTGAACTTGGTCGTAGCCTGGATCTGCTGGTCAATCTGCTCCGAGAAGACACCGCTGACCATCTGAGGAAGGTCCTCGTTCAGCTATGAGAGCGAATTAAGTTAGCATCATGGTTGCCACAAATAAAGCATGAATGTGCTCTAAAGCAGTAGCAAGTCAACACTCCACAGAGAAGCACAGGGACAGAGAAACGGAGAGCTGCCAGCCCCACATCGCATTCCGGCTCGGAAGCATGACGACGGAACCTTTTGGAAAGGAAGGCAAGAAAAAAAAAAGACACTGGTCCCAAAAGGCCAAACACCGACAAGCAGGTACGTATAAACAAGGCCAGCGTCCAAAAGATCAAACCAACGCAAGGTTGTGGAGCCCGCAATAAAATTAGACGTGTTGCCCCCGCCACGCCATCGCAAGCAAGACAAACAAAAAGACGTTGAGGCCCGGTATGGACCAAAACAATGAGAAATAAGGGGGTTGCGGAAGAAATAGGAGGGAGAAAATGGCATGAAGAAGAGAGAAGAAAAGTGCAGAAAACAGAGATGAGAAGATCATACCTGGGACTCAGTAGGGGGAGTGTCATCGTCACTGTCGGGAGCAGCACCGAGAGCGGCACCAGGACGGCTGTCACCGGAACCAATGCCTCGACGCTTGGCCAAGTTCTCCTCACGCTTGGCCTTTCGAATTTCTACCTGCTGCTCCTCACGACGACGACGGAGCTCTTCGGGCTTGAAGGCGTTCTTGGCCTTGAACTGTGTCCGGCGATGTTCGGGGATGTATCTCTCAGCCATGGTGGGCGGCTTCTCTTCTTCCTTTTATATTTTTTTTTTGGTAGTGCGGCGGTCAGCGACTCGTGTGCGGGGCGAGTCGATCAACAATGAGCAGAGAGCAGAAGGCGGGCTTAAGTTTCGATGAAGAGGTTGGAGATGCTGTGATTAAATGCAACAGCACGGATGGGGTGACGGAGATCCTGACTACCCGTTGCGCAGAGCAAAAAAAAAAAGGAAAAGAGAAAAGAAACGAAGAAGGAGATGGAGAAAAAAATGGAGGAGGGGTATTACGAGAGGGAGAAGGAAAAGAACCTGCGAGGGGTCAAAAGAGATGACGGGGTGGATGAAGAACCAAAGTAGCAGGAAGAAAGCGCTGACGAGGAGAGCCAGCTGTGTTCTGTGGGGGCGAAAGGAGGGGTGATTGGCCCGTGTCGGAAGTGCTAATAGCAGCAACAGGGTGCTATAATGGCAACAGGCTGCCCGTAATACAGTTAACCTTACCACTGCGCACATCCACAAATAGAGCTCATAGGGGTTCTGTCTTCTCTTCTACAGTAGTATTTATGACTCCCCTGTGGTCGTGGTAGATGGGGAAAGGACCCACCAGGCCACTGAACCATCAATCGTCACTGGCGCAGTGGCTCTCGTGCACTGTTCGGTCCTGTGAGACAACCCTGTCGGTTGTTGGAACAAACTGGGCCCTGCTATTGCCAGTGGTCTACTCGTACGCCTTTACGGGTATTATTACTACTCGTACTTACGCCTACTCGTATGTACTGGCGTTTCGTAGTGGGGGAGGGGTCTTTCCCCCCTTTTTTCCCCTTCCTTCTTTTTTTTCTTTCTTTCTTTTTTCAATCTTCCACCAGCTACTCTTCTATCCCTACTATTTCTCGTACTCGTATTGCCTTATTCTTTTCCTCGCCCTCTTCCCTTGTAGCCTCAGGCATAGATATGTATTACCTAGCCCACCTAGCACCTGATGATATGGACGACGGCAAATAGCCTACAGCTCATTATCGTTTCTCCGAAAAGCTTGCTGGTCCTGAACTCAAATCACAGCCGTTTTATCGACCACCATTCATTATCAAAACTGATGAGTAATCACGCCACGTCTTTACAGAGATCACGTGATACCGCGACCCTAAACTCGCTACAGCTACCCAGCCGTGGACGCGACGCCGTACCTCATCTCGACGCGTCGTGCATTTCATACACTATAAACTCAGCCAAACCCGACCCAGAAATCAGCCCATCTTCGTGTTCGTGTGGGGTAGTTCATATGCTAGTCCACTTGACTTGAAGCACTTTGCACAGTCCACTGCGACGCCATTGTACTGATCTACTGCTCCGTTCACTTCTCTCCATCTGTGTAGTTCGCGGCACGCCATGCCGAGCATGTCGCGGCACCATGGCTCCTCCACCCCAGCATAAAGCCGTCCCCGGCCGGTTGCCCCCAGGATTTGTCTCCCTGCGAGATATTCTCGATGATAAAACCGGAGGCATCCATGGCTTTGCCAAAACCATTGGAGTCGTCATCGACTCTCGAGCGCCCTACAAGATGCCAAACGGTCCTGGTATGGAAGCCCCCAGCACCTACGTCTCCTATGTCCTCACTAACGAGCCAGCGCTGATTTTATGAGGACCAGATTGGAAAGCCTCTCTGCGTATCACCGACAAAAGTTTGGAGGAGAGCGGCGATTTGCCCGACAGCTCGGTCCAATGCCATTTCTTCCTGGATGAGGGGGATATGCCAAGAGTCCAGTGTGGTGACATCATTATCCTTGACACTTTTAGAGTATGCCAGGCTACTGTCTTAGTGAACGAGTTCAAGCGGAAGACAGTTATACGGGAGAGATACAGGAAGAATCCACAGCTAACTCGGCGCAATTCTAGATGCAGCTGTATAAAGGCGAAGGGGTCATATCTCTTCTGACGAACAAAAGCTCAACATATTCCATCTTCGCCGCCGACAAGATTCCCAAACCCCCGCAAGATGCCTCAGTGGCCCAGGCACCGTCGGCACCGTCGCGCAAGAGGCAGAATTCCAAGGCCGAGCTGGACTACGTGGCTTACCTGCGCCACAACATAGATCAGAGCCTCATCCCCACCAAGGAAAAGTTCGCGACGCTGCAGGTGCAGTCCCTAAACGTCGGTAACAAGTACAAGGAGCTCAAAGACCTTGTGCCCGGCGGCTTTGCCGACCTCGTCGTTCGCCTCACGAGAGACCCCTGGAACCGCGGCGAACGGACCACCATCTGGGTGACCGACTTCACCGAGAACCCAGGCTTTCACAACCACACGGCCCTCGGGGCGAGTGCAGCCACCCACGACGGGGACACTTACGGGTACACGACCGGGTTCCACAAGGCGGAGCAGGCCAGGAAGAAGGTTGACGAAAGAAACACCGGGCCCTTTGGCAGGCGGACCATGCAGGTTTCCTGTTGGGAGCCCCACGCCACAGCCATACGTGACGGGGAGATCGGAAAGGGCACCTGGGTCTCGATGAAGAACGTCCAAATCAAGTATGGCAACAACGGAGCCTACCTCGAAGGGTTCCTGAGGCAGGATAGACATGGTCCCAGTAACAAGATTGGCATTTTTGCCCTCGACGCCAAGGACCCCGAGACCATGGACGACAAGCTTCGCAACGCCATCAGACGCCACCGCGACTACGAGATGTCCAAGAAGTCGCAGATAAAAGAAATCGAAGAGGCTGCTTGGGCCGGCCGCAAGCGGAAGCGCCAACTAGGTGCGTCAGCAGCAGCAGCAGCGCCCAAGGCAGAAAGCTCAGCCCTGAGACGCAAGATGTCCAGGCAGGCGAAGCAGGAAGCGGCAGCGGCAGTAGAATCGGCAAACGCCAATGCAACACCGGCACCGGCACCATCCTTGCGCAAGCCGCCAATCAAGCTCAACCCGTTAAGTACGTCTAGGCTTCCCCTCCCCCTTCCCTCACTCCCCCCCACTCCCGCTGCCTTTTCTATACACGACTAACCCCTTCTCTCCTGCCCAGTAAAATGCGAGAACCAATCCTTCCCAGCAAGCAGCGTGTCCGATCTCCTCAAGCATGCCGTGGTAGAAGCCGAAGTCGGCGACCACACCATCCCCCTAACCCTCCCCTTCTACAACGCCAACCACCGCGTAGACGTGCGGGTGACCGACTTCCGGCCTCACGATCTCCGCAACTTCACCTACCGTAGCAAGGTATCCAACTTTGCCGCCCTCTCCGACGCCGGCGACTCGGAGCTCGACTCGGACGACCAGGACAATGATCCCGACGGCGACATGTTTACCGAGGGAGGCTGGGAGTGGCGTTTCGCACTGGAACTCGAGGATGCCGCCGCCACCGCAACCACCCCCGGCGCTGCCAAGAACAATCGTTTCTGGGCCATTGTAGACAACCAGGCAGCGCAGTGCCTGACGAACCAAGACGCCACCGACCTGACAGAGGACGGCCAGGCGCTCGAGACGCTCCGCCAGACAATGTTCCATCTCTGGGGCGATCTGGAGGAGAAGAAGACTGCTCAGCAGCGGCTTCAGGGGGCGCGCAACAGGGACACGCGGAACGACCCGCCTCCAGACAGCGATGACGAACAGCAGGAGAAGCAGAAGCAGCCGAAGGAGAGTGAGAAGTCGTCCAATCTCCCCTTCTCATGCTGTGTGAGGCAGTATGGGATCAAGGTACGAGAGGGTGATTCTGCCAAGGCCGATGCGGGTGATGGACATCGGTGGATGAGGGTGTTTGGTCTGTACGGGACCCGGGTAGCCATATAGTTTTTTTTCTTTTTTTGGTATGCTGCTCTTTACTATCTTGTATTATATCCCACCCCCCTGCACACTATTTCGGTATTATACTCCTGTTTTGGTGACCACTAGTGTAGGCTACATGACTTTAACACTCAACTTGAGACCTTTTTTTTCTTTCTCTTCCAATGCTCAATTAAAGTGTTGCTCAGACAATAGAGAAGTTATGAACTGCATTATCAAGGGGGGGGGGATAAAAGACGGGAATAAAACATTTCAAATGGGTAAAGGGGTTGAAAAGACGAAAAGAAGAAAAAAACGGAAAGAAAACAAAACTCCATTCGTTACCTCACACGAGGACATTCAGCATATGTACAAAAAAGCATACGACCTACCCACTAATAGCCGATATAATGTTTTCTTGAAAAAAGGGGTAAAAGAAGAGAAGAAGCAATGTACTCGACATTAACAGCCCAACACCCTATCCTGACCACGCACAGAACAAAGGGGAGATATCAGAGAGAGAGAGATAAACAAAACAGAAAAACAGTGAGAAAAAGGGGTGGCGGAGAGCCCTGAAATAGGGGAGAGGATGACGGATCAATCCCCTAGCACTTCGTCATCATCGTTACTCGGTCGCTGGTCCTCATCGTCTTCCCCATCGTCGATGACGTCTTCCTCCATTGCGTCACCATCCTGGACTTCTTCCTCTTGCTGCTCTTGTCCCTCGTCTTCATCACCTTCTTCCTGTTCTTCATCTTGCTCTTCATCGTCGTCGACATCCTCAATGATTTCAGCAGATTTGTATTTACCGGGTTTCTCAGCAGGGGCGGCGGGCGTGGTAGTAGAAGCAGAAGTGGAGGTAGGCTTATCAGCGGTGATGGCCTTCTTTCTTCGTAGAACCTTGTCCTCGTCGAGGTAGTTGAGCACCTCCTTGAAGTTGTTGCCGAGCTTGTGGTGGTTGCGGAGAAGACGGCGACGGAGCTTGCCCGCCGTGGGACCGCGGTTGTCGAGCACCTTGGCGGATATGGCCATGACCAGCTTAGCCGTCAGCTCGCACAGGGCCTTTTCGGCCTTCAGCTCGGCGGCAAGGACTTCCTCCTTCGTCGTCTCCTCATCCTCGTCCTCGTCGGAATCCTCGTCATCGTCAACCGGGTCCTCGTCCTCTGCAGGGCCGTTGAGCATCTTGTCGCGCTTCGTCTTCTTCGCGTATAGTTTCTCTGCGCCGCCAAAGATGGCTACCAGCTCAGGAACCAGGCCGGGCTCGATCTCTTGCGTCAGCGCCTTGAGGTTATCGGCTGTTGCTGCTGCTGCTGCTGCTGCTTCTCCTCCTTCCGTCTCGGCTGAGCTTGATGATGCGTTCTCGATGGGTTTGCGTAGCGTCGCAAAAGTCAGGTGCAGGTCGCATAGGCTACCCGTGGCGAAGAGGCGGAGCTCGTCGATTGCCGCCCGCGACGATAACGTCTCAATCAGGTATCGACGGTATGTCTGGCGTAGTACTGATAGACGGTCCACCTCTGTGCCTGGCAGGCTCGAGCCGTCAGCGAGGAGCTTGGAGAGCGCTCGTACCCGCCACATGATGTAGAACTGGCAGGCCTTGATGGCGTATGAGACGACCTCGTCCTCCAGGTCGTCAATCACGTCCTCTTGCGGCTCATACTTGCCGCGGTGCACAATGTTGACCAGAACGTCCACGGCGCGCGAGATCGAGTCGTCTGTACCCCCAGCTTCCAGCACGTCGACGCAGTCGGAGATGGCTGCGAGTTTACTGATCTTCATCAGCGTCGTTGACAGGCTGCGCAGGGACGCCTCCGACAAATTGCCCCTGACAGAGAGCTCACATGACTTTTCAAAGGTGCGCAGAGATTCTATGTTATTCTCCCACAGGCCCGAAATCTTGGCGTCGGCCAGCTCCTCCAGCTCCTCGTGCTGGCGGGCGTGCAGAAGCGCTGCGACAGCCTCGGAAATGACCCTGCTGTCATCGTGCCTGTTGAACTGGGTGCAGATCTCATCGAGGAGCTTTCCGTACGTGCCTGAGTCCTGTCGGAGCTGCTGAAAGATGCCGAGGTTGAGGAAGTGCTCGAGCTGCAGCACGGTCGTGGCCGTCTCAGGCTCGGCACCGAATTTGTTGAGGAGCTGGGGGATAACGCCGGCCAGCTCGATGGCAATCTCCTCCTGGGCCTCGGGGGCCTCCATCCGCTGGCCTCGACGCTTGCCCTTGTCAAGCTCGGCTGCCTGAACAAGGCTGGCCTTGACGGCCGATGCCAGCACCTTAAGAATGATAGCCTCTTCGGCTGAAGAAGGCGCCACAGCCTTCTTGAAAGCCGCTTCGGGAGACTTAGTCTTAGCCTTGGATTTCGACTTGTTGCTCGTTGTGTGGTCGAACAGGAGGTAACCAGCCAAGATCTGCCACTGCTTGACTTCGTCGACCTTGTCGAACAGCACCTGCGAAGCTAGAGAGATGCGCGTCTCGGGAGCAGTGGCCCCGAGTAGATCCACGGCGACATCCAGATCACGGGCGTTAGTACTCTGCTGACGCTCTTCGATCTGGGCGTCGTAGGTTGCCAGGGTCTCGGCAAGACACTTGACGTTGACCCATTCCCTGCGGGGAGAGTCGAAGTCGTCCTCCTCAACATTGTCAAACTCGTCGAGCACCTCGGTCCCGCCGAGCTCTTCGATCTTGGCCTCATAGACATCCTCGACACTGGCGACAAAGAAGTCGACGACGGCCTTGCGAATCCTCAGCTCGGTGTCGAATATGAGTTCCCCGATCGCGTCGATCTCGGCGGGATCCAGGAGGGCTCCAGATCGCAGCGTGTTCATGACAGAGATAGCTGCCACTCTGACCGAGACCTCGACATCGCGTGTAGCCATCTCTACGAGTCTGGGGCGGAACCTGTCGATGAAGTGGCCAAGCTGCTCGGCGCTACGCTTGAAGACTCGCCCGAGCTGCTTGAGCACCTCTTGTCGGGTAGACGCGTTCGTGTCGGAGAGCATCCAGCCCAGATAGCGTAGGTACGACGGCTCCATGAAGGCAGTTGGCAGATCCCAGATCCAGTTCCCAAGGGCCTCGACGCACTCGGCACGGATTTTGGGGTCGTAGTCCCGATAGCGGTGCACGAAGACGGTATCGAAGAATGACTGTATCATCTCGGTACACGCCTTGCGGTACTCGGTAGCCTCGTGAAGGTTGAGACCAATCTCGAACGATTTGGCCTTGGCCGTGCTGCGCTTGGAGGCCTGCAGCTGCTGCTCGATGCTTGTGATTCGGGCGTCGAGTGTGTGCGCTACCTGAACGAGGCCAGATGTGATGGCGAGCGAGATCGTCGTGGCCGTGTGCCGGAACGGGCGGAGGGAGGAAGATGACATGCTGGAAAGCCAGGCGTGCACGTTGTCCATCAGGTCCTTGTCCTTGTACAGCAGCTCTGACTCGTGCAGAACACTGACGAGCAGCTGGAAGAAGCCTACGAGCAGGTCGCGGAAGGACTTGGCCGTCTTAGCCTTTGATATGAGAGGGTAGTCGGTCTCTTGTTGCTGTGGTCGTCAGTTAGCCCTGACCAATCTCAGTCCCCCCCCCCCCTTAAGAGCAGCTCAACGTACCTCCTGATAGGCATTATGAAGATCGGAGAGTCTGTTGGGAATATTCTCGGGGTCACGAATATCGTCGATGGAGATCTCGTGTTCGCAACCGATGCATTGCAGGACGCAGTTGATAAGCTCTAACAGCGCGTCACCCTCGTCGCTCCTATATTTTTCGAGCCATTGCTGCGCGACAACGCCTGGCAGTTCACCAGATCCGAAGATTTCGGCTGCACAAAAGAGCGTAACGTTAGTCCTTGGTAATTACCCCTGGGCCCAATCAAATAATTTGTTGGAGAGTTGGGAGTGGGCGGAGGTGAGGGGAGGAGGAAGAAGGGTAGTGGTTTACTGTAAAGACCGTTGCCCTTGCCGCCGGTGTCCAGACGCACAGACTTCCTGAATGTGCGAGATAGGTTGTTTACGCGACTAGGCGCAGCCGGCTGGGTTTCATTGGTTTTTGCCTTTTTCGACTTGTGCTTCTTTGCGCGCTTCGATTGCGACCGGCGCGACGCGGCATGCTCCTCATCCGAGTCGTCGTCGTTGGCGTCGTCGTCGCTATCCTCGTCGCTCAGATCGGGCACGCCATTCTCCTCATCGTCATCCCCGTCATCGTCGTCTTCGCCCCCTCCGCGACGCTTGCGCTTGGCCTGGGAAGGTTGCGAGCTAATCTCGGGGGAGAACTTGTCGGGTGCGCGGACAACGCGTCCTGAGCGGCGACGCGACGTGGCGTCGGGACCGGTTGCGTTGCTGTTGTCCATGATTTGTCGCAGCGGTAGACGATCAGACTGCATCTGGCTCGAGCCAAGATCAGGAAACGGACAGGCGCCTGATCCTGGATTGGTAGCAACTAGCACGGTTGCGTGGGATAAGGGGTGGAGGAGGGGGAGGATTTGTGTGTTTTGCCCGAGAGAGCCTTTGATGATGGGAAGGCGCGTTGGTCGACGGTCGTGCCTTCCATTTCCCACTTTCAGTGGGGCTCGCGTTGTGGTCAGAAAGGCACCAGCCGTGCCCCATAGGCTGGACGGCCAAACGTCGGCTCAATGGGCCAATTACATGGCATCGCACCAACTCGGGCGTAGGTGCTCGTCGGAGATATCAAAGGTGATGAGATCAATTATCCTCTATAGAGTACAACATTTACTCAGTGGATTTCATCTTTTCTTTTCTTTGCACGTCCTTTGTTGTCCGACATTTTCTTTTTTTCTTCCTCTTGCAGTATTTGCATAATGCGGTGGACGAGCGTGGTTTCACACTCTATTCGCTGAACGCCCCTCAACTCCAACGCCAACCCTATGGCCTCACCCTTCCCGCCATCGTCCTCGTCTCCCGGCGATGGCAGAATCGTCGTCGAGCCTCTACCCGCAGGTGGCAGTGGTCTCCAGACAATGAGTTACCAGTACCCGCTGAAGCTCATATCGCCAAACCCATCAGGTGAGCACAAGAGCGTGCTCGTCTTCCTGCTGTCTTACGGGGGCGGCCTGGTCAGCGGCGACAGCGTCGACCTGTCCATCACGGTCAAGGAGGGCTCCAAGCTGAGCCTCGTCACGCAGGGGCACACAAAAATCTTCAAGGCGGCATCGCCAGACACTATTACGCGGCAGACATTGCGGTTGCACGTGCATAACGGAGCCGGGCTCTGTCTTCTACCAGACCCCGTCCAACCGTTCGAGAGCAGCGTCTACATGCAGAAGCAGATATTCCGGGTGGCACCGAGCTCATCATTAGGTTTCCTAGACTGGGTGACACAGGGTCGGGTTGCCCGAGGCGAGGACTGGAGCTTCACCCACTGGAATGGATGCAACGAGGTGTGGTTGGACGATGGCGACAGCAACACGAGGCCGCGACTGCTGGTGCGCGATACGGTGGCCCTCTCCGGCCCGGAAAGCTTGCGTCTCAGCGGCAGGCGGCTCCGGGATACTATGGACAAGCTTGCCGTTTTTGGCACTCTCATATTGCGAGGGGACATGGTCAAGCAGACGGCCGACTTCTTTCTCAGCGAATTTGCCGCGCTGCCACGCGTCGGAGGACGAGACTTTCGCTCAGCTGAAGCTCAGGCCGCCGATGAGAAGTCAGTTTCGGACCTCGAAAGCTGGCGATCACGGCGACTCAAGATGGAAAAAGACGAGGTCATCCTGTGGTCGGCTGCGCACGTACGCGGTTGTGTGGTTGTCAAGTTTGGCGCGAGGACCGTGGAAGGCGGGCGCAAGTGGGTCGGTGCGATGCTCGCCATGGATGGAGGTATTGAGCGCCAATTCGGAGAACAAGCACTCATGTGCGTACGATGATGAAGCTGAACATCTCACTTGAAGGTATGGGAGAAGGCAGTATTGTCTGCCCCGCATAGGTGGGGGGTATCACAGCCTCGAACGACGGCAAGGGGAATGCTCTGGTGGGAAATATACAACATCTCTCCCTCTCAAAGAGCAATCCGTTACAATACGGGTTCAAGAGGAGACACGGAATCATCTCGTTGACCGGATGGAATGAAGTGAGGCAAGGCATGATGGCTTGATGGTCTAGTGGTGGGAGATTGTACTATTGGTAGCGGGGCTTGGTTTAGGTAGAGAAGCCATTGGTGCCACCAAGTCGGACCCCACCATGAATTTCTGAACTCGGTCATCTTGGCACCGACATCATCCAGAGAGAAAAATTACCACCACAACTTTCTCGGGCCATTCCTTCACAGCTGTGGTCCCACGACAATACAGAAGTGCACCAGATCCCTCTTGGTATATACGACCATCCACACACAATCTCAGTGAACCAGATTATGAGGCGAGGAACCAGGGGGGTCGGCCGCGCCAGGGCGGGTGGCGCTGCAGGCAGCCCACGCACGGCGGTAACACCATCAGAGGGAGCAGCAGCGACTCCGAGCGCCAGATCGACACCGACGCCGTCAGCCGCGGGTCGCATATCCAGCACGACCAGGTCAACACGCGGAGCCGGATCGGCACCGGGACGTTTCCGGCCCAAGAATGTGCGGCGAGACGAGGCCGAGCGCGACATGATTGCGCGGCAGGAGGAGAAGAAGGCCAGCGTCAGGGCTGCCGAGGAGCGACGTGCGCGTGGACGATCACGGTTCCGTAGCAAGAGAAGCCGTGGTGATGCTATGGGCGCGAGGGGAGGCTCCAGGATGATCTCAGGTGGGCCTGGCGGTACATTCGCATCCGGCGCCGGAGGTACGTTCTATTGTCTCTACACATGCACGCACGTACTCAAGTTGAGGCCGGTACTGACAAGACGTCCCGGAATCAGCAGGGGGCAGAGTAGGAGGCGGATTCTTCGGCGGTGGCGGACGTGGGGGAGCAGGCGGCGGAGGCGGCGGTCTCGGCGGCTCGCGCGGCAGAGGCAGCGGCACACCGGGCTTTGGCGACGCGGGCGACGGACGATATCGCGAGACGCGAATCGACGCAGACAAGCTGCACACCAAGGAACCAGAGGAGGAGATTGGCAGCGACGACGAGGCCATGATGGCGGCGCTGGGGTCCCGATCCAACGTGCTGCCCATGGGTATCTACCGGCGCGAGCACAAGGAGACGGGCGTCGTGGTGGCCACGACGGCCGAGCTCGAGGCGGCGGAGAAGGCAGGCGAGGAAGAGAGCCTGTGGGTCGACGGCGATACGCCAGATGACGACGACGACGACGCCGCCGCCAAGCCCATCCCCGAGCAGCCGGTCGAGGAGGGCGTGTGGGATACTGGCGAGACGACGAGCAAGAAGCGCCCGATCACGGTCAAGGCTGAGCCCGGCACGGAGGAGCCGGCGACAGTCATGGACGTCGATGCGGGACCTGCACCGGCAGCAGTCCCAGGCGGGGAGGAAGGGGGCAAGGCCGAGGTCAAGCACAGCAAGAAGAAGGTCGAGGTCAAGGTCAAGAAAAGCCCGCCCCAGGATACCGAGGACCGCATCATCGAGTCGGATCTGAGCATGCTGGCCAGCGAGCTGGGAACCATGACGGTCACGACCGAGGACGGCGAGACGCGCACCGAGGGCCCCACGGACAAGGACGGCAGACTGTACCTCTTCCAGTTCCCGCCGCTGCTCCCGCCGCTGAAGCTGGGCGACCACCGGTTGCCACCTCAGGATGCTGTCAAGGCCGAGGACGGCACGGGAAGCACCAGCACGGCCACGGTGGATCTCACATCCAACGACCAACAGCAACAAATCAACGAGGACGACGAGGATGAAGAGGGGGATGAAGACAGCACGCGGGCCTTCTCACCCTCTCTCCACAAGGAAGGCGGGATGGTGGGCAAGCTCGTGGTGCGTAAGTCGGGCAAGGTGCAGCTCGACTGGGGAGGCAGGCTCCTCGACATGACGCCGGCCACGAGCATGAACTTCCTCACCACGGCCGTCATGGTCGAGGAGAATGACGAGAAGCCGGCACCCGGTGTGCTGGGCGGGGAGAGTGTCGGCATGGGAAAGATCATGGGCAGGTTTACGCTTGCGCCTGTCTGGGGAGAGGAGGAGGATTGGGAGGTTGACGAGGAGGAGCTGCGGATTCCGGATGAGGAAGAGATGACATGATGGCCTCGACCGGTATTAATTCTCTGGCATACATAGATGGTGGCATTGCCATCATAGAGAAACAGACAAACAAAAAACCAATGGGCATATATCCTTCAAGCAATTGAGATTGATGATGATGGCAAGTACAATTACGTACGTGTACATGTAGCGATGATGCTACATATACCCCACTACTGCAATCGTCGAACCCTCCAGTTCAAGGGACTTATCAGACACGTCGTATTTTCCATGAGAGAGAGGAGAGACGTTCTCTCTCTTTTTTTTTCTGTTGCTGGCGATATCCGAGTTTTGACCCTTGTTTTTTTTTCCCTCAATTCTTCAGCTGAAGTTGGGGCGATGAATAATCAGCCAGCGGCCAACCGTCTAATAACAAACAATCAGTTTAACCTGAGGAAGCAGCGCTAAATGGAACCGTGGCCTCCTATTCCCAGTCACATCCAGCGCGTCTTACCTCGGTCAGTGCACATACGAGTACAGAGAGGGAGAGAGAGAGAGAGAGAGAGAGAGAGAGAGAGAGAGAAGAAAGGTAAATAATGCATCAAATAAACGATCACCTGGACCCCTCCACTCATCGCGCCTCAATCACCTCCATCCTCTCAGCTTCAGTCTCTGACTTTCTATACGAGTACTCAGTTCACTCACTCACTCACTCACTCACTCAATTCACCAATCACGACAACAAGCTGCGCGCATAAAAAACCACAAGAGATACCGAAAGAAAACAGGGGGGAGATGGCTACAGAAACAGAAAACAAAAATGTCAAAAAGAATAAAGGTGCATTCGTCAAGATTGGCGATTTTGTGTACGTATCTCTCTCTCTCTCTCTCTCTCTCTCTCTCTCTCTCTCTCTCTCTCTCTCATATCTCCCAAAAGAAAACCCCCTCCCTCTTCATATATACATTCTCAGGGGTGGATCTGAGACTGAGAGAGAGAGAGAGAGACTCCGATCATTCTCAAGAACGCTAACTCGACGTGAGAGATGCAGTCAGGAGAACATTGACAAGGGAAGCTCATCCATCAAAAAGGCCGTCGGTCTGGGTAAACAGCCCAACGTCATTCCCGTCACCAAGCCAAAGTTCAGACAGCGCGCCCGTCCTGTCCACGTGGGATGGCATCCCGTAGGTGGAGGCGCGGGCAAGTGGTTCGCCGAGGAGACGGTACTGGGCAAGATGATTACCGACAGTATCAAGAATTATCCAGATCCTACGCAGCACTGGGCTGTTTTGGTCGGAGGGTATGCCCATCAGTTGTGGATGGTACGTTTTTTCCCCTCACTTTGCTCGCTCTTTTTTTGTCTCTCTCTCTTTTTTTTCGTGTCTCTCAAATCCTCGGTTTATCTCCTCACATCATCCTCTGTTTACATGACACATTCGCCTATCATCTGTCTCGTCTCACTCGTTTTGTTCTTTTGCATAGCAACCCAACCCCAACCCCAGCCCCTCCGGTTCGGTTCGAGATACAGAGATTGACAGGATCATAAGGATGAAAATCTCGACATCATCTATACCAACCAAAAGGTCGTGCCAGAGGAATGGAAAACCTTTGCCGTTGGAGAGACGCGCTTCAATGACGACGCCATTCGTCGCACAGGTATGTTTATGCAGAGAGGGGGAGGAGGGGGAGGGAAGGAGGTTAAAGAAGAAAGAGAAAAGAGAAAGATTGATAATAATAAAAAGGGGGGAGAAAAGATGATGGGTATGATGACTGACATGCAAACCAGGCGAATCAACGATTGAAAACATTCGCCAAACGGCCCCGGCGTACAACCTCATCACAAACAACTGCCAGACCTATACCCTCCACCTCCTCGACGCCATCAAGTCGGAAGGCCACCCGGAATTCGGCACCACAAAGGCCATCTACGACAGGATGTTCGGTCCCGGGCAGGTCAAGGATCTCTTCTCCGGTCCTGCTCAGGTGGACTCTGACGACGACGACGACGATGACCCCACCGGTAGTAGTAGCGCCAAAGACAAGAAGGAGAAAAAGGAGAAGAAGAAGAAGGCGAAGGACGACAAGAAGGAAGGCACGGACAAGGATGGCCATCAAAATATCGAACGCACCGACACCGTCTCCTTTGCCAACAAGATTATGAGTGCCAATACTAAGCAGGTCGATCCTAAGAAGGAAATGGACAAGAGGAAGAAGGGAGGTAACCTTGGTTCTGGTCCAGCCAACAACAACAACAACAACAACAACAACAACAACAATAACAATAACAACAGCAGCAGCAGCAGTAGCGGCAGCGGCGGCAGCAGAAGCAGAAGTGATGGTGGCGGTAGCAAGAAGAAGAAATATGGGGAGAAGATTTCTGATGAGAAGAGAGACTGGGATTGGTGGGGCAAAAAGTCTAGTGGTGATGACAAGAAGGAGAATGGCAAGAAGGGGAATGGCAAGAAGGAGAATGACGAGAAGAGAGAGGTGAATAATGACAAGCCGAGGCAGATTGTTCAGGAGGGTAAGACTCAAAAGAAGAATCTCGGTGGGTTCATCTCTTCTCTCAAGAACAAGATCAACAACAAGTCATGAATTGGGTCCTCTGAGTCGGGAATGAATTTACGCAGTCGGGATCAACGAAGACAAGATACCCTCTCTGGATCGACAAAGCAAGGCGGAGTAGAAAAGGGGGATATACATATATCATGATTTTTATTGAATTACTAGTGCATGACGGTCCTGATTAACAAGTAGTACCGAAAAGAAGAAGAAGAAGAAGAAGAAGAACAAGGAACGTAAGGAGATGAACATGTCAAATTGCTGATTCTATGATTTCCCAGAGTGCAAGCCATGGAGCAGAAGGCTGTCTAAGCCTCTCCCCCCCCCCTCCCTGGCACACTGCTTCTACTTCTGTCGAAATAGGCAGCTCGCACCGTCGAGACGGCTATACACACTCGGTCATACAGCAGCACTGATGAGAACGACTATCCACCAAGATGTGACGAATGGCTTCACATTGGCCATAGGGAGCTTGTACAAGCACAGAAACAACACCTTGGCGAGCCGCAGGCAAATCCACAAGCCCAAGGTGGTCACGAAGAACGTCTTTCGGCTGTACACCCTATCCTGCGGCAGGTCAGGGTAGAGCTTGATCTTGCCGTCCACCACGGCCTGGGTACGGAACATGATTCGGCCAGCACACAGGTACATGACGGCGACGACGACAAAGACGGCTCATGGAGCGAAAAGGAGGACATCCTCCGACGAGACGCGCCGCCTCTTGAGGAATCTGAGGTATATGCGGACGCAGAAGACGGTCGTGGCAAGTACAGTCATGACGATTCCCGTCGCCTGGAGGGTTCGCGTTTTCAGGTCGGACATTGTCGTAGGTGCAGCTCGGCTCATGGGGTGCTTCTGGCGTCGTCGGCGGCGGCACGCATTTTCCTCTCCTTTTTCTGTCTTTCTTTCTGACGGCTCGGAAAGCAGGAGATGCCACGATACGTATTAACTCCTCCTCCTCCTCCTCCTCCGTCTCAACTCCCCTTTTACTCAACTACCGACGGTAAGTAGCACATGAGACACACGGAACATATTACTATCACACCAGAAGCCAGCACATCCGCACTCAACACGTGGAAAACGAGGGTACATGCCGTATGGTGCAACCGGCCAATGATGATGATGGACTTTGTGCAGCCGAGAATGGGCAGCCATTCGCCCATCCATGTAGGAGCCAAAGTATGCAGATCATCCTGGGCCAATGGGCAGAATGCATAAGAAGAGGAGAGTCCCTCACCGACCAGTGTGCACATGCCTTCTTACGTGGGCGATGAGTGCTCGAAGGAGTCGTGGTTCAGAGGCAAGGCAGATGCGGCAGTATGATGGCCATTGATACGACGATGTATGTACAAGACTCGCCGCCGGTGTAGGCGAGGTGCGTACGTATTCTCTTGGACAGCGAACCACAAAGGCCATGGGGTCGCAGATGGGATTGATCAGCATCTCCAGTTATCCTCCATCTCTACCGCAGACGAACCAGAAGGGTCAGGACCGGTGACGCTCGGACAGGCATGTAAGGGGGGAGAGAGAAGAGAGGTTGAGGCGGGGGACGAGAGGTTGCATGTGACGTTATGTGCGCTCCTTCCTGTTAGCATATACGTAATTGCTAATCAATCCCTCGTCGTAAGTCGTACCTTCTCAACGTTGACGTGTGGGGTTATGTGGTGCTCTGGAGGAAGGTGCGACCGGAATGTATCACCGAGCAAGTTGGCCAACTCTTTCTTCCCCGCATCTCCATCTCTTCGTTGCAACATCAATCACTCTCATCGAATTGTCGCAAAGAGACGCCACCAACTAACTACCCATGGGCTCTGTTTCAAGCTTCAGCCCTCACTTGACATGTGGCACGCTCGTGTGGTGTGGACACGGGACAGTCGGCAGCGCAGGCAGGAAGGAGGAGCCTTTTGCTCTACAAGGTGCACTGCAGAGTGCAATCTGGATGGAATCAACACCCCGAGCCCAGGTTCCCGAATCAACGACCGCCAGCATGTCCGGGAATGCTTTCAGCAGCAATCAAGCACCGGCACATCTCCCGATGCATCACGCCATTTCCGAGGACATGGACTCTTAGTGCTACATCCGGTATCCTGTCCAAATCCAACCATGCTGAGTCCCAATCGGCAACCATAGAAACGACAGCGTGTTATCATGACGACTATCACGACTGCGGACGCAACCTCTTTTAGCGTAGAACGCTTTACGGCAGGTTCCGTGCGACTACTGGTATTGATACTGATTTGTCCGGTATTTGCGCCTTGCGTCCCTACTTCTACGGGTCTTTCGCTCCCGGCGGTCAACCACAGCCCAGCGAACAAGGCTAGGCAATACATGCGCACTCATGTACCAGCCCTTCGCTCTTTCTTGTGGGTGGGACGTATATGCAGAACACTACGGCTCGGTCTAATACGCCTATGTCTGCGGAGAACAGAGGTGGTGCTCTTTATGACCCTCTGATACATACACAGCAGGCGCCGATATTATGGCGGTGCAGAAGTGCAACGCCTACGACAACATCAGACGTTTACACTTGTGGATGAACAGATCAAGATTGTCGGTGGCAACCGCATCCCACCTCTCATTTCCCGATCCTAATCGTCACTTCCCCGAGTACCAAGGCATGAAAGCAATCAGGGTAGTGAGTACGCTACCTGAAACAGTGCACGGCATACAATACAAAGCATTATTACTACTTACTACAGTACAGATTACAAACATCCGGTTATTCCCGTGTCACCCACTAAAAGAGGAATGGTAACAAGAAATCGACAATGTCAGCAATGATGCCCGAGTTCGTACGAGTATTGGAAATTGGGCGATTGTTTACTCCAGAGTCCGTAGCATTGCACCAGGGCATTATATACGGCCGAGACTTGAGCGATCCGTGCTTCTTCGAATTGACACCTGCTACTTACTCAGTACGGAGATAAACTCGTATTTAATTGTGCGAGCACGCACTCACCCGACCCATCTCAGGTCCATCGTCGCTCCGCTATTTTGACCGCCCTCCTTCCAATTCCTCCTTATTCCTCTCCCTGTCACTTGGGCCCTGTGCCAGCTTCTATTCGACGCAGGCGAACCGCATTAGGATCGTTTTTTTTTTCCCCATCATGATCAATGCCGTCCGTCTCGCCGGCTTGGCCGCCCTCGCCAGCGTAGCAGCCGCAACAGAGCATGCATTTGAGAGCAGCCCTTTTAACGTCGCCAAGGCCCTCCGGGATCATGGTGTCGACTTCTCCAAGATCCCTGAACTCTCCGGGGTTTCTACGCATGCCAGCAAAAATTCTTGCTCCATTGCTGTATGCTAGCCCTAATGCTCCCCTCTTTTCCATTTTTTCCCTCCATCCTGGGGGAGATCGACCCCCCCCCCCCGGATCTCATAATACTGCAGCTTATGCGTACATGCACAATTGAGGGTCCCAACTGTCGACTGAGAAAATTAATGACGGAGTCGACGTCGCTAATCATTGCCGTAAATAGTGCCGCGCTCTGGGTAACGTCTACGGCGACCATACCGTCTATAGGGAAAGCCCGAATGCTACGCAGTACTCGGATTTTACCGGCAAGTACTGGTCAAAGATCCAGAGCGATGTCGACCCTCACTGCATCTTCGTGGCCCCCACGGCTGACTCCGTGTCCGTCATGGTGCTGCTGTCGCGCTTGACACAATGTCCCTTTGCCGTCAAGAGCGGTGGTCATGGTGCTTTTGCCGGCGCCTCGAACATCGAGGGCGGCATGACCGTGTCACTCGAGATGCTCAGGAACGTCACCCTGTCGGACGGCAAGGAGACGGTTGTCATCCAGCCCGGAAACACCTGGTCGGACGTCTACACGGCACTCGATAAGCACGAGCTGACCGTCACCGGCGGTCGCGTCTCGAGTGTCGGCACCGGTGGCCTGACTCTCGGAGGTGAGTTGACGCTGACGAAACTCTGTCCGTCGTATCACGTATCACGGTACGTATGCTAACACCACCAAGGCGGCATCTCCTTCTTCTCCAACCTGCACGGCTGGGCATGCGACAACGTCGTCAGGTACGAAGTCATCACGGCATCGGGCGTCAAAGTTGACGCCACGCCAACGTCGCATCCCGACCTGTATTGGGCGCTCCGTGGTGGCGGCAACAACTTTGGCATCGTGACAGCTTTTACCTTTGAGACGCTGCCCCTCCCCGACGCCAAGATATGGGGTGGCAGCAAGACGTACCTGGAGGCGGCGTTTGAGGACGTCGAAAAGGCCTACCACAACCTGGTGGTCAATTCGCCCCAGGACCCCAATGCCGGCATGTGGCTGGCATGGGCGCAGATGGACGACCTCAAGGTGGCCGTGGCGGAGCTGTACTACGCCAAGCCCAACGGCAGCGAGTCGACGCTGTTCAAGGGCTTCAATGAGGCCATGGCCGTCGAGGATACGACCAAGGAGCGGGTCGTGCACGAGTACACGGACCTGATCGAGGCATCGAACCGCTACGACCTGCGCGAGCTGTACTGGGCCATCACAGCCAAGGCGACTCTGGAGCTGGCCACGTTCGCCCGCAACACGTTCTACGAGAAGCGCTCGGCTGTCAGCGGCGTCGCTGGCGCCGACCCGGTGCTCATCATGCACCCCATAACCGAGGGTCAGATCGAGAGCATGAGCAAAAATGGCGGCAACGCCCTGGGCGTCACACCCGAGGACGGCCCTCTGTATATCATCCAGATCGCCAGCTGGTGGGATGACGCCGAAGGCGACCAAGCCATGTACACGTTCGCGTCCGACGTCATCTCCACCGTTGCCGCCAAGGCCGAGGAGCTCGGCGTCGACAACGACTACGTCTACATGAACTACGGGAGCAAGTACCAGAATGTCATTGCCAGTTATGGTGCTGAGAACGTGGCCAAGCTCAATGCCATTTCTAAAAGGTACGATCCTCAAGCTGTCTTCCAGAAGCTTCAGCCCGGTTACTTCAAGCTCAACCGTTCACCTGCACCCGGCTCGGAGCTTTGACATGAGGGGTTGATAGCCTTCAAATCTAGGTCGCACATTTCCTGATGGCGACTTCAGATGATGATGTTTGGTCTGGGAGCCGGAAAAGTAAATAGATGGGATCAGGTACATAGTCATACACGGACGGGGAAAGAAGTATATATCAGTATTTACAGTCTTGGGCGTGTAGCAAGTTAAATGATGCCGCAGTCTGCGGTAGCATGGAATTCATTGGCGGCATCACGACACTAACACAGTAAGGTGAGTTTCCACACACTCCGTCACGTTAAGTCCAGGTACAAACATGTACGTATCCACATCACACCATCCCACTTCAACCTCTGAACCTCCCCGCACCGGTCCGTACGAAGGTCCATATCGCCGTCATCATCATCAGTCCGGAAAGGGAGAGACAGCCATGACTTCCGATGCCGTAACGTACAAATGTCATCGATACGGCGACCACTCTCTTCAGAGGGTAGGCGTGTGGCAATTCTCCGAGGAACACTCACCTCCTCCTTCTTCTTCTTCTTCTTCCAACTCATCGCCTCTATGGATCGTGTACGGCTTGGACTTGCCCACTTCCACCTCTTGTGACTCTCTTTTTTTTTCTTCTGTCTCGGCTAACCAAGAGTACTCTCTAGATATATTCACGGCGGAGCATGGCGCGACCCTGAAATCACCCACACTTCTTTCAACGCGACCATTGATTCCCTCACATCTTCCACCACCACCACCACCTCCTCCTCCTCATCTGCCTCTTCCACTGTCAACACCAGCCCATCGCCCTCGTCCCCCCCGCTGCGGCCGGGCATCGCCGGCTTCGCAAGCATAGACTACCGTCTTTCCCCACACCCAGACTACCCGCAGGACCCGTCTAGCACGCCGGTCAACGAGCTGCGCAGCGCCCGACACCCAGACCACCTGCGCGACGTGCAGTCGGGTCTGACTCTGCTATCGCGCGAATACAATCTCCAGGATGACCGGTACATCCTAGTGGGGCACTCGGCCGGTGCTACGCTGTCGTTCCAGACGCTCACGACGTCGAGCCATGACGGAGGAGACCGGGGATCGCCACTGCCCGCCGCGGTGGTTGGTGTGGCGGGCATCTACGATCTGCGTGGAATCGACGAGCGACACGGGGGCGGGTACGCGGGATTCATCAGCGGCGCGTTTGGGGACGATGCGCGGGAGTGGGACGCTGCCTCGCCGGCCAGGTTCGAGGGTGACTACGGTGCCCTCCTTGGGCGGAAGGACGAGGGGGGAGGGCCGGCGCAGAGGAAGATATTTCTCGTCAGATCGGTGGAGGATGAGCTGGTTGACTCGGCAGAGTTGCAGGGGATGAAGAGCAGGTTGGAGAGGGACGGAGTGAAGGTGAAGGCTGTTGATGATCTGACGGGGCATCATGATGATGTCTGGAGGGGGGGGGACCAGATGGCCAGAATTATTGGTTTGGTATTGGAGTCTTTATAGGTATCGATGCTCTTCTCGATACTCTTTTTTTTCCATGCAAGTGATTCTTTATTCTCCTTCCGGGGACCCTTCTCGCTACGCTCGTCTCCTTTCTTCCTTCCCAAGGAGACTCGGGATATCTACCCTGTGTTGCTATGTTTTTGTCTCGGCTCTACATTGCTCAGATAATCACTGCATGCTGTACCTCTAAAAAAGAAACATGAGAGAGAACAAGTTGGAATTTTTTTTAAATATATATATATATATATAAAATCAGAAGAAAAAAATATCCAGACAAAATTTAAAAGAGAGAGAGAGAGCATACAAAAAGGAAGAAAAATAAGTCTTTTCAAAAAAAAAAATAAAAAAATAAAAAGTACAACTCAACAAATCATACACACGTAATATTGACTGACGGTATATTCATTGGTTCGGAAGTCTCCACCTAAAACGAATCCGCACAGCCTTGTCCGGCACCGGAGAACGGAACACGAAATGTGGGGCTACTTCCCCGCGACTGCCGCCGATGTGCCGACGGCGGGGTTTTGCGACGGTACAAGAAAAAAACAAAAAACAAAGGAATTGCATATAATACGCGAATGTCATTTTATCCAATTGAAAAAATGAAAATGGAGGGTTTTTTTTAATCTTTTTTCAAAAACTTTTCACAAATAAAACAATAAATACAATAGAAATAGTACATCTCACTTTCTGCAAGATATAATATAAAAAATCTCCCTGATTCTCTCACTTTCCTTCTCATCTCACTCGTTTTTACTTCTCTTTACTTTTCTCTTTATCTTCATCTCATCGTATTATTATCAAGTTTTTTTTTTGTGTTCCTATTGCTATTATATTTACGTATACATATATATACTCTTTTTTTTATTAGCAAGTCTAGTAGAACCCCTCCGCGGGGTTAAATGACGTAACTGATCACGTGTATCCCACTTAAAAAGGTATTCCCCGGCCAATCGGGTACCCTGGACATTTCCGTCTTTTAGCGTCGTTAAAAGCAGGACAATCAAAAACCCCATTTCATACACATCGGTGACCATGACAATTCACAAGCCCAGAACACAGCAAAAAGAGAGTGTTGGCAAACGTAGAATAGCAAAATAACTAGACAATATAAGAATAAACAAACTCCAAAAGCGCCAAAGGAGTGTAATGGTCTTCTTCGTGTTCTCTTCTTCCTTCTTTTTCTCTCTTTCCCTCTGGCCCTCGGTTCCATCGTCCCTCGATTCCATCTGTTCTTCTCCTCCCTCCATCTGTTCCTTGTTGAGAAAAAAAGAAAGAAAGAAAAAGTTCTTGTTTTAAAAAGACATGTTCCTCCATCTTGTTTATACCTTGTATGCCAGACTTCTGTGAAACAGAGAAAAAAAAAGAGAAAAGGCTTCAACCATCGTAATTACATAATCTCCATCTCGTTACTGTAGTTGATCTGTTCAGTGCAGAAAAAAAAGGAGAGAATAAAAGAAAGATGTGAAAAAAAAGAAGAGTCAAAAGTTCGGAAATGATAGGAGAACAAAAAAAAGAGGACAAGATGTGCGGGGTGAGGTAAACGTGTGACAAGTTGGAGGGGACAAGAATGAAAGAAGGAAGAAAAGAGGGTCATAAAATGTGCAGATTGCTGCAAGGGTCCTGTCCAGACTCTCTCTTTCTCTCTCTCTCTCTCTCCTACCGCTTGCGCTTCTTCTTATCAATGGTGGAAAAAGACATGGAGATATGCGCCGCCGGCAAGAGTGTAGGTTGCTGACCAGACATGCCAGGCATGCCGGCCATGCCGTGCACAGCGCCGGGGTGCACAGCACCGACCCCGGCGCCGGCGCCGGCACCAGGGTGAACGGAAGACGTCGGGGGTGCGCCTACACCGCCGTCCTCCTTCTTGATGGGAACGCCCATGTGGCGACCGTAACGCCCCTTGCGACCGTTACCCTCGTCCTCGCTGATGCACTGCTCCGCCGACAGCCCGGCGTCGCGGCACCTTCCGCATGGCCTCTGCCTGTCGCATCCCTTCTTGCTCTTCCGGCAACGCTGACACCGCGGCTTGGTCGACAGGTCGGGCTGGTCGTCTTCCGCCGCGCCCGCCGCGCCGCTCGCTGACCCGGCCGCCGACCCGCGCACCATCATCACGGCCGGGCTGGCCGACGTCGTCGAGTGCTTGCGCGACGGGGGACCGGACGCGGGGGACATGGGCCGTCCGCCAGCCGGCGTCGTCGGCAGCTGCTGCTTCTTCGGCCCGCCGGACGGCTGGCGCTGCGCCGCACCGCCGCCCCCCCTGTTGGAGGACGACGAGCTCTTCGCCGCCGTCGCCGTCGCGGCAGACGTCTTCGTCTTGGGGTGCAATGACCTGACCTTTGCCGATGTTGAGGACGTGCCCTTGCTGCTGCTCTTGGGGGCAGGCCGCGCAGGGTCGGGTGCGCCGAATGTGGACGAGGTGGGCAGGGCCGAGCGACCCTCGGGCGTGCGCGTGGCGCCGGAGCCGGGGCCGGAGCCGTCCGTGAGTTTCTGGCGACGCGCGGGCGGGGGGGCGGCGCCGTAGTCGTCGTCGTCGTCGTCGACGTCGCCGTCGCCGCCGTCGCTCTCGCCGTCGCTGGTGGCACCCGTAGACGATGCCACCTCTGCCTTCCCGCTCAGGGCGTCGTCCAGAGTCGAGGCCGACGTGCGGCCGTGCGAGACGTTGGACATGTCGCCCAGGCGCATCAGCTGCAGGGCCACGTCCTTGTCCTCCTCGGAGACGCAGCTGCCGACCGTGGGGTCGGGCGTGGGCAGGATGTCGGCGCTGCCGGGCAGGCCGACGATGCCGGCGCTGCTGCGCGAACGGCCGTGGTGCGGCGTGTACATGTGGTGATGACCGTGCATGCTGCTGCTGTACCCGTGAGACGACGAGTGCATCGGGCGCGGGTTTGTGAAGGGGTTGTGGCCGGGGTGCGCAAAGCCCGGCGACGGCCGGTGGTGGTCGATGCGGCGGGCGGGCGACACTGACGGGTTCGACGTGGCGGCGGGCATCTGGGGCGGGGCGAAGAGGGGCAGTTCCTGTATCATGCAGATGAAGACTGTCAGTTTTGCGACGACGAGAGGCAGAGTGACTAGAGAGGTGCCAATCCGGCCGTACCGAGCTTTCAAACTTGGCTCTCTTGCGACGGCCACCCTCGACAATGTTGTCGACGCTGATATCCGTGTTGCCGAGGTGGTCCTTGAGCCGGGCCGACGAGGTGCTGGGGGCGCCCTCGTCGCTGCTGTAGCCGCCGGCCATGTGGTCAAAGCTGTCCTTGACGGAGCGGGAGCGGCGCTTGGGGCCGGGGCCGGCCGAGTCGCCCCTGGACGAGCCGGGGGAGCGACTGCGATGGCGCGACGTCCTCGACGCGGGGCGGGAGACGTCATTGGGGCTCTGATGTACGGCGCCGGTAGGCGAGTAGGCGCCGCCGGCGTGGTGGTAGGCCTGGCTGCCACCGGGTGCCGAGGCGGCGTAGCCCTGACCGTTGTGGTGGGCCTGGTGATGGTGGTGACCACCGCCGTAGGCGACGGGCTCGGCAGGGTACTCCTCAAAGACCCTGACGTAGACGACCATCTGGTTCGTAAAGTTTTCGTAGCGGGCGATGAGGGTGTTGCCGTCCTTGTCCTCGAAGCTGACGCCCTTGGAGCCGGTGGGGCCCGAGTACAGACCGTAGAAATTCTTGACCGTGGTGACTATCGAGTCGGTGGTGTCATGGGGGTAGATCTGCACACGCATAGGGAGGCGCGCGCGGTACTGGGGAGCATCGACGAACAAGAGTTCGAATGCGACATTCTTGGGCGATGCCGTCAACCTGGGCGAGATGGCGTCTCTGTTTGGAGAGCCGTGGTCGACCCGGTCGGTAGAGGAAGCCGGCGACATAGAAGTCATGGCTGTGAATGTGTGTGTGTGCGTGCGTCTATGTCCGGTTTTCTCTCTCTCTCTATCTTCTTCTCTTCTTGTACCTTCTGTATAATAATCGGTCGATGAGGTATTGTTTCGACGGAGATGGATGGATGTAATTGTGTGTGTGTATGTGTGTATGTATATGTGTGTGTGTGCGTGTGTGTGTGTGTGTGTGTGGTGTGTGTGTGCGTGCGTGTGCGGCTACCAATCTACCTTGGGGTGAGGAGAGCCTGCTCTCGAGCAAGGGAAACCGGTCTCGATAGGGTTTCTGTCTTGGATGTTGGGCTTCTTTTTCCTTTTTTTTCCCTGCTTTAGCTTCAAGAGCTATTGATAGGTTCAGGAGAAATATATGACAGTCGATGGACGGTTCAAGGGCGCATCACCACCCAGACCACTTGGTGGAGGGAGCGGAGAGAGTCGGCGCTCTGGGGCGATGGCGGGTGCGGCGGTCGGAAATCAAGCGACGAGCAAACCTAGAGTCGGCTTCTTCCTCGTCTGTCAGTCGAGCCGTATGAAGAGGGTATCCGATGGGAACATGTGCGAGGGCAGATGGAAGGTATGTGGCTGAGGCGACCAAGATTGATCTCGAGGTCAGGCCCAGAGCGAGAGAGAGAGAGAGAGAGCACGGAATCGGACCGCAGGGCCAAAAGGATGCGATGGGTCTGGCTGGGAGGAAGAGAGCTGGAAGGGAATGGATGGCGCGGCGGAATGCGAGGCAGGAGAACTCACCAGAGCGATCGACAGAAGCCTGGACGGGTTCTGTTGGGTAAAAACCAGGCAAAGATGGGAAGAGAAGGTGAAAGGAAAGAAGAGAAGAGGGAAGAGCTGCATGAGAAGGAGGAAAAGAGGAGCGAAGGCGAGGTCTGCCGGATTTTGTCGCGGGCGCACACTGACACTATATTAACACTACAGTATGGGCTAAACGCACAGTGTTTTTCTCTTCCCTGTATTTCCTGGCAGGGGAGATCTCCCGGTTGGAAGAGAGGAGGATCTGAATATCCGAACATCTACAACCGGATTCAAGCTGATCGACTCATCTACCGATTCTACTAGAGACAGGAACAGGCAAAGGAATATACACAAGGAAAAGGAGACATGCTGTCTGATCTAGATGCTGAACCTGCTCGATGGCTGGCCCGCCCATCCATGCCTCGAGACTGGCGCTGGCCGGCGCGCTGACCTTCAGGCGCTGGCGATGCGCTGGGACTTTGGGTGGCTCAGGTATGTATATATATATATCTGTGTGTGTGTGCGGTCCCCCCCCCCCCCGGGGGGGCCTCTGCGGGTGCTGTCCTCGGGTGCTACAGGGCCTGGGGAGGTGCCTGATCAGGCGCTGACCTCGCTGACCTCGCTGACCTCACTGGAGGAGCTGGCGCTAAAAGATGGAGGGCTCACCCGGGGCCGTCTACAGCGGTCAGGTCCACTGAACGAACCTGTGCGTGCGGGCAGTCGAGGGCAATCGGAGTGAGCGCAGGTGTCTCCTCTCTCTTGTTTCCGTCTTTCCATCTTGTTCTTATTTCTCACCTCGATAGAAGGGGCATGATATCGTTCAGAGGGATATCTGTCAGAGGAACAGAGGAGAAAGAATCTTGGGGGTGAACCGAAAATGGACATGAATACCTCCCCCCCCCCAAAAGACCGCTCCCGCCGCCAAGCCACTGTAGTGTCAGCCGCCGACTAACCGCCACGGTGCCCACCACCACCACCGCATTCTGCTCGTAAAAGGATGGATGCGACGGCTGTGCAAGAGGGTAGGTGAGGGAGTCTCCCTGCCGGGGAACATGTGAGCTCGGTGATACGATACGTTGTATATGCTCATACCGAGCGCCTGCGTATGTGCGTATCGTGTATCGCAGAGGAGAGGATGCTCTCGTTACTCTCGTTGGCAGTTGCAGAGTTACAGGTAAGAGCGACGACGTCTCTGACCGCTGACCGCTTCTGGAGCGAATGCGCGACGGATCACGGTAGATTGCGCCTGTCCGGTCTGCCAGCAAGGTTCCCCCCCCCCCCCCCCCCCCGACCAGGCGCTCATGATCAGAGCTGCCAGCAGTCAGAGAGCGAGAAGGTTCGACAGGAGAACTGAACCGCTCGGCCAGTAGCTCGTCACTGTTACGGTACGATTGCTACTCGTTACATGTACGGGTACTTGGCAGCAACAGTCCACGCTACTACAACTTCTGCGGACTCGAGGTGGACATCTCAGCGATGCGGCCGGTCCGTTCGGGCCAACCAAAGACGGCGACACGCACACACACGCACACACACGGACATGGGAGACTACGACGGTTCGAGAGTAAAGAAAAGGGACCCATGATGAGTTGATAATACACCTCAGTCGTGCAGATGAGCTAGCAGGCGGGGCAGAGCCTTGCTGCCTCTCCATCTCCTCCTCTCGAGAGAGTCCAATGTCTCCTGCACGGCATACTCTGTACCCGTACAGACCCTCCTCCATCCCGCCTCCCTCTTCCGCCGTGCTTGTACGGATATGTATGCATGTGTGTATATTGAACATGGAGGACAAGTCCAGGGGATATCCAGGGGAATGGAATTGGCATCATCTTACCGGATCACCACCCCGTTCCTCGCCACCGTCGTCGAAGAGGGGGAGGAAGAGGAGAGAGGAGAGGAGAGGGAGAGTGTCTGCGCCGAACCCTGGACGTCCTCCGTCCACCTGGCCTGTGTGCGACAGACCGTACATGCACACACCCTCAGCTCCTAACGACGCGCAACCAGAGCCGACAGACCCATTCCGTCCATGTCGACCTCGCAGGGCATCAAGACTCCGTAGACGAAGGAGGGAGGCTCTGGTGAAGAAGAAGAAGAAGAGAGCTGCCGAGAAGCAAGATTCCTCTCTGATGACCGACAGTTGAAGAAATCAAGACTCAAGCATCATGTGTCATTGTCAAGGCGCCTGACGTGACCCACAATCCACTATCCCTCCCCAACCAGAACCCTGCGCAGAAATGTCAAAGAGGGGGCGGGATCCGATGCGCTGGCCGATTTCTAGTCATTCATACGCATTTCGAACTGTTCGAGGCAGTGAGTGTACGATTGCCATTGCTTTCAAGTGCCGTACGTGGGAGGAATCATGATGCGACGTTATCCATCCCCGCCCCCCCCCCTGTTACCAGACAAGATGTTGTTTTCTTTTTTCTTTTTTCTTTTCAACCTTTTTTTTTGGAGAGAGAGAGAGAGGGAGAGAGAGAGAGGGAGAGAGAGAGAGAGAGAGAGAGAGAGAGAGAGAGAGAGAAAGAG